TGCAGCATATTCCTGCCCCAGCAACCAGTGCACCTAGGAAGCAATTTAAGAGGCTAGGAAGAGGCAAGATGAGAACCAAGCACAGGACCGTTAGGATATCACACCTGGGGAGCTCGGGACAACGTGTCCGCCACAACGTTGTCGGTCCCCTTTACATAACGAATATCTAAGCAGTAGGACTGCAAAAATAGCGACCATCTGATTAACCTCTGGTTAGGACACTGTAAGGAGTTAATAAAGGTCAGGGGATTGTGGTCAGTGTAAACCACTACAGGTGTACTACTACCACCAACATACACGTCAAAGTGTTTCAAAGCCAGGACTAACGCCAGCGCTTCTTTTTCAATAACTGAATAATTTAACTGGCATGAGTTGAACCTTTTAGAGAAGAAGCTAACAGGCTTGTCCATCCCCAGGTCAACAGTCTGCATGAGGACTGACCCTGCACCTACATAGCTGGCATCCACGTACAGTTTAAATGGCCTGTCACAATGCAGGGCAGCCAAAACTGGAGCGGCACACAGCAGTGTCTTTACCTGCTCAAATGTTTCCTGACACACTGGGGACCAGACAAATTTAGCCTTTCCCTTCAATAAATCGGTGAGAGGTGCCACAACGGTTTCTGCAAAAACTTCTGTAATAGCCAGCCAGGCCAAGAAAACGCATCAACTCTTTTTTTGTCATTGGGGCTGGATACTGCTCTACAGCTTGAACTTTGGCATTTATTGGATGCACCTAATCTTGTCCAACCACCCGGCCGAGGTAGGTCATGGTTGCCCTCGCAAACTCACACTTTGCCAGGTTGACCGTGAGCATTGCCTCCACCATCCGAGTAAACAGGTCTCGGATGCATTCCAGGTGAGTTTCCCAGGTGTCTGAATAGACAACTACATCATCCAAGTAAACTGTACACCCCTGCATGTCACCAATGACGTGGTTCATAAGGCGCTGAAACGTAGCTGGCGCATTCCTAAGCCCAAAAGGCATCACAGTATAGGAATACAAACCATTCGGTGTAATAAACGCAGCTATCTCACGCGCTCGCTGGGGACCTGCCAATATCCTTTTAACAGATCAAACTTGCTGACAAACTTTGCTGAGCCCATCTGATCTATACAATCTTCCATTCTGGAAAGGGGAAACGAGTCAGGTTTAGTGACATTATTCACTTTCCTAAAATCAGAGCAGAAACGTGGCGTATTATCAGATTTTGGAACTAGTAAGCATGGTGAAGACCAACTGGAAGAACAAGGCTCTGCAATACCGTTTTCCAGCATATAACTCACCTCAGCATCCAAGTACTTACGTTTATCTGCGATAAAACCTTTGCTTAATTGGTTTAGCGTCTGCAACATCAACATCATGCTCAATTAAATGCGTGCGGCTAGGTGTGTCACCAAACAAACATGAAAACTCTTTATCAACATTACCAGCTCTGCGCGGCGTGACTCGCAACCAGTTTATCAATGTTACAAAGAGCTTCTGAGTTTTTCAAACGTCCGCACAACAGGGCTTGGTCAGGCGCACTTACTCCATCTTCCTCACAGACCAGACCGTCAGGATGAGACTCACCCTGCCCTGGACCAACTACACAAGCCGCATGCCCCTGACCAACATCTGACTGCGCAGCGGAAGATGGCCCAAAGGTGCGTGCATAATAGGGATTAAGCAGATTTACATGGCAAAGTTGACTTTTCTTTCTACGACTAGGCGTTGAAATTATGTAATTTTGCTTAGAGATTTGTTTGAAGACTGTGTATGGACCTGCAAATTTTGCCTGGAATGGTGAAAGGACAATAGGAAATAGTGCAAGCACCTGGTCTCCTGGGCTAAAAACGCGATGTTCAGCATGGCGATCATACAGATTTTTCATCTTGTTTTGAGATAACACCAATTTCTCCTTAGCCAGTTCCCCAGCCGTGTACAACCAGTGTCGAAACCAATTAATATAGTCAATTAAGTTTTCAGGAGGGTTTGACTCTTTCCAGTTACTCCCCTCAGGTCAAGAGTCTGGGTGTCATCC